GTAATTTTAAAACATCATTTATTTTGAAACATAATTAATGAGTATTTATTTTTTATGAGTTGAACTGTAGCTAATAAAAGATGATACAAGAAAACAAGTTATTGATGTTTTTTAAAATAACGTATAAAATTAAATATTTGATTAAATTTATAATAAACTTTTTCAACCACTGGATAAATTAGGTAGCAATATAGTTGTACTAGATTAGTTAAAAAAAAAGATTAGTCAAAAAATATACACTATCTAATACTCCCTCCGTTTCAAAATAAGTGTCGTTATAAAGTTTCGAGGCAAAATTTATTAGATTTATATTATAATCTATTTTTCTATTGGTTAAAAAGTGGTTAGGTGTATTGGTAATTGTCTTTTTATATTGAAAATATGTAAAATTAAATGTTTCTTTAATCTGTGTGCAAAAAACTAGAATGACAATTAAACTGAAACGGCGGGAGTAGTATTATTCTATTTATTATCCTAGAAAATAAGATTGTTACGAACAAAAATTCGACACGCGTTTCACGTCCCAAGCTGATCGTATGGCTATTGGATTAAGAGAATAACTCAAGAACAAATGGACTATTGGGAGAACTAACAAATAATACCTACTTGTTTGTTTATAAGCTAACAATTTTCTGTTTTGTCAACTTCACGTTTAACCATTTCTGAAAAAAATTGTTTCTGCTCGATTCATTTCTTAGAATAAATATAAGTAAACTTGATATCGATTAAATAAATCAGAAATTGAGTTAAGTAGTGGTCATCTAAATTTGATTTAAGAACATAAATCTGTCGGTTTTTGGAATTTTTTTTTGTATTATGATGTTGATTAACCAAAAGACTGTATTACAACTTACAAGCCTCACTAGAAATCCATGACCGAACTATATTCACTAATCTTTTTTCGTTAGTAAGTAATGATTCAAATATCTAAATCATAAAAAACTCAAAAATTACTAAAAACCTTTTTTAAACCTTTTTAGAACTCTCAAATTTCAACCATATAAATCATGATGGTCAAATCAGATAGATATGTGATCTATATAGTTTTCTTATTAGTGATCCAGGTTAATGCATAATGTCGGTTCATGTATAAATTACATTATTAGCAAAAAAAATATATGAAAGAATCTTTTAATTGCCCAATTTTTTTTCCACAAAATAGCACTTAAGGAAATAATGACAAAAATAAACTTTATTAAAAAGTAAAAAGATACACAAAACTCTATGGTTAATTAATTTTACATTTAGGATTTAAATTTGAAAGTAGAAATTAAGGGTTTGGGGGATTAGAATTTAAATCTGGAATTCAAGATTAGGGTATAAATTTAAAATAATAATTTTTAAAATATTGATATTAAAATATTTAGTTATATTCAATATATTCTATATAAAGTTACTTCAGTTTTTTAATTTAACAAAACTTATTTTGATTATTTTCTTTGTATGCTAGTTTAGCATAAAAAAACGTTTCCAAGTCTTTAAGTAGATTCGCCAAAAATCAATAGCCATTGAATGTTAGTTATTCTGTGGAAAATGTAAAAAAGAACAAGATTTATAATATCTGTTTGTACATTTAAGTGGGAGCATAAACGAATGGTACGTCTAGCAAATGTTCCAGAAATTAAGATTATACAATCTCATTTCAGAAAACAAAAGATAATTGCAATTATTCATATATATGCAGTATGCTCTTCTTACCTTATATAACATATTTGGAAAATAGAATTATAAAACTTACTATAATTTTTAACTTTGGGCCTAAAAAGCCTCAACGATTGCAGTTCAGGAGAGCATCCTTTTGATGTAAAAACCTTTGTCATCCATTTTGGTAGGGCTGGGCAAAAAAGAATCGAACCCGAAAATCTGAACCGAATCCGACCCGATAAAAAGGAACCTGAACCGATTCGAATCCGACATAAGTACCGAATGGATCTTGTTATACGGTATTTCGGGTTATGGATATTATCCGAACCGAACCCGAACTTAAATGGATATCCGAAAGAACCCGAAACTTTAAAATTCCAAAAAAACTTGTATCATATCCAATCTAAATTTCTAATATGTTTCCAAAACAGATTAATATATTATTGAGTACCTACAATAATTAGTTATGATATAAATAATTAGCTCAAATATTTAGTCTAATATATAGTGTTATTTGGTTAACATCTATTATATTAAAACAGAGTCATTCTTTTTATCTACTAATACAAGTTGTCATTTAACTTTAGATCCTTTATAGAGTGTTATAAATAATACAAAGCATATAGTTAATTGAATCGTATTACTTAAATTAAACCGATGGTTATTTATGGGATATAGTCTTGGGCTTTCTTTTGTTTTTAAAACAAATTATATGATTTGGTTTTGGGCTTAGTATTAAGGGAAATTCCAAAAAACATTGAATAAACTTTCCACCTTACTAGATTAAAAAATCAATTATTATTTTCAGGCCCAAAGTTTAATATTTTAAACAAAACAAAATTATCTATTATTAATCATTTATTTAAATCATGTACTTTAAAACACGTTAATGTATTTTTTATTTTAAATAACAATCACTTTTTTGGATAAATTTCAAAGGTAAATTTAAAATAATTTATTGTTTTACTTTTCTTAAATAATTTATAGATTTAAAAAAAAAATATGTAAAGCAAAACCAAAAACTAACTCTAAAAACTAAAATCCAAACCAAAAGCTGAAAACGCAAGTTATATTTTTTGCTTTTGTTTATTTAGAAAATAAACTATTGTAAATTTTTTATAAAAAAATTTGTCATATTTTCAGCTTTAAATATGATATTTGATTATTTGAGATTTGTTTGTTGGTAATATCAATTCAAACGAACTCAGTGGGTCTAAAAATAAAAAAACTCAAACCAAAACCTGAAAATCAAAAATATAAACTTAAAACTAAAAACCAAAATTTCAACACAAAATCTAAAATTAAAAAATGAAACTAAAAACTAATGAAAAACAATCGTCACCACAAACTTTGGTGAATTGATTTTATACCAAAAAAATATTTAAATTAAGACAAAACCCAATTATATAAATTTTTAATCATAAAAAATTTCTGCGCTTTCAAGCACGGGTCAAAATCTACTCTATTAAAATAAAGTCATTCTTTTTATCTACTAATACAAGTTGTAATTTAACTTTGGACCCTTTCTATAGTGTTATAAATAATAAAAAACATATAGTTAATTGAACCGTATTACTTAAATTAAACCAGTGGTTATTTATTGGATATAGGGGATGATTGGTTGAATTGTAGTTGTAAAAGTTTTACTGTAGAAAATAGTCTGTAGCATTTTTTGATTTAGCTGTAAAAGATGTAGCTTTAAAATTTATTGCTACAACAACATATTTTCTACAGCAAAAAAATGTGGCTTTAGAAAATAATGATTTTACAACCATTTTTTAGTTTTTTGCTGTAGCTTTAAAAAATAAGATAAATCATGATTGGTGATTTAAGTGTTGTATATAAAAATTAAAGCTAAAGTCAGCACTTACAACCCAACCAATCACCCCCATAGTCTTGGGCTTTCTTTTGTTTTTAAAACAAATTATATGGTTTGGTTTTGGGCTTAGTATTAAGGGAAATTCCAAAAAACATTGAATAAACTTTCTACCTTACTAGATCAAAAAATCAATTATTATTTTCAGGCCCAAAATTTAATATTTTAAACAAAACAAAATTATCTATTATTAATCATTTATTTAAATCATGTACTTTAAAACATGTTTATGTATTTTTTATTTTAAATAACAATCACTTTTTTTTTTGATAAATTTCAATGGTAAATTTTAAATAATTTATTGTTTTATTTTTATTAAATAATTTCTACATTTAAAAAAAAATATGTAAACCAAAACCAAAAACTAAATCTAAAAACCAAAATCCAAACCAAAAGCTGAAAACGCAGGTTATATTTTTTGCTTTTGTTTATTTACAAAATAAACTATTGCAAATTTTTTATAAAAAAATTTGTCATATTTTCAGCTTTAAATTAGATATTTGATTATTTGAGATTTGTTTGTTGGTAATATCAGTTCAAACTAACTCAGTGGGTCTAAAAATTAAAAAAATCATACCAAAACCTGAAAATCAAAAATATAAACTTAAAACTAAAAACCAAAATTTTCAAACAAAATCTAAAATTAAAAAATGAAACTAAAAACTAATGAAAAAAATCACCACCACAAACTTTGGTGAATTGATTTTATACCAAAAAAATATTTAAATTAAGACAAAACCCAATATATAATTTTTTAATCATAAAAAATTTCCGCGCTTTCAAGCGCGGGTCAAAATGTAGTTAATGTTTATGATTAACATTACATTTGAAGTTAAGTTACGAATAAATTTGTTTTGAAGTTTATATAATGTTGTTTTTTAAAGTTTAAATAGTACTTCTTATGTTTATAAAATTGTTAGTTGTTAACTTTAATTTTTTATGTTTCATTATGTATTATATTTCGTTCATACAAGACTTTGGTTTGTCATTAATCATGATATGTTTAGTGTCGTCACATATAGTTTAATGACAAATCTTATATGGTTGATAGATGAGTTTCACAATATTATTTTGAAGGAGAACAATATGGTTTGTAGAAGCTAAATACACAAATTTAATAAAATGATTGAATATATAATGAGTTTAAATGAATATAAATTAGCATTTTTAGAACCGATAACCCGATTAGTATCCGAAACCGAAACTATTTCGGATTCAATCGGATCTGGGACATGTTACTAAACCCGAACCGAACCCGACTAAACCCGAACCGAATCCGACCCAAATTTTTATAATATCCGAATGGAGCTGAAATTCATGAACCCGAAAATCCGAAACCCGAATGAACCCGAACCGAAACCCGATTGGGACCCCGATTGGGACCCCGATTGCCCAGCCCTACATTTTGGAGAAAACAAAAATACATTGAAATAATTATTATACCCCTCAAATTAAAAAAAGTATTCAACTTTTTCTTTGACCCAACTCTCTCTCTCTACTCCCTCTTTTCATGGTGAGGACCCAACCCTCTCTCTCTCTTCTATCTATCCCCATTGCCTTGGAAGCAAGGAGATGTGTTCATTTATCTCCACCTCTCTCTACAGCGTTACATGAACAGTGACTGCTCTCTGTTTCCCTTTTTTTTTTCTTCTTCTTATTCCCTTAGCTTAGTTCTTCTGAAAAAAACTATCTCGTCACCTATACCGCTCTAAACTTTCAGGTAACATCTTAATGGGTCTCTCTCTCTAAAGCTCTGTTCTTTTTTCTTTTCTGGGTTCTATTCTCTGATTCTTACTAGATCCAAAACCAAAAGGCTGTTCTTACTTTAACGAAATCTCTCTACTTTTTTTTTGCATTGAAAAGTTTCCATTTTGGTTAGTTAATCATGAACCAACCAAGAGAGCTTTCACATAGTTCTATGCTAATTATGTTTTAATTGATTGTCTGTTACATTTGAATTCAAGATCCATACGTTCTCGAGACTCACCATATTTAGTAAGATCCGTAATTAGTGATTAGTCTCTTGACTTTTTCAATCTTCTCATGATTTCTCTGAGTAACAACAATCTTTGCTTTAACTGATGCTATTGTTTTGGTTTTGTGATTAGATCAGGTCACACACACACACACTCTCTCTTTGATGGAATCTGAGCCAATCAGTAGAATCAAGAAAAGTTACTCAAATCTCAGGGAGGAAAGATTTGGTTTCTAAGAATCAAGAATTTAGTTTCTTCTTTGTTACTCCATGGCCTCCAAAACTTCTGAAGGATCACTTACCAACTCAAGTCAAAGTATGTCAGTGAACACTTTAGCAGATCAAGTATCTTCAAGTCTGTCTTTCACTGATCCAAGTAACGACAGCAAAACTAATAATAATAAGAAGAAGAGCGAGCAAGGTGAGAGCGGGAAGAGCAGCACATGTAGACCGAGCACGAGCAGTGATATAAGCGATGAGAGCACTTGTAGCAGCTTTAGCAGCAGCATCAACAAACCTCACAAGGCCAACGATGTGAGATGGGAAGCTATTCAAGCTGTTAGAACTAAACACGGTGGTTTGGGTTTGAACCATTTTAGGCTCTTGAAGAGGTTAGGATGTGGTGACATAGGAACTGTTCATCTCGCTGAGTTGAATGGAACTAGGTGTTACTTTGCGATGAAGGTTATGGATAAAACAGCTTTAGCTAGCAGGAAGAAGCTTCTTAGAGCTCAGACCGAGAGAGAGATATTACAGTGTCTTGATCACCCGTTTCTTCCGACATTGTATAGTCATTTTGAGACAGAGAAGTTTTCTTGTTTGGTTATGGAGTTTTGTCCTGGTGGTGATTTGCATACACTGAGACAGAGACAACCAGGGAAACGCTTCACTGAGCAAGCAGCAAAGTAAGAACAAATCACCGGGTTGGTCCGGTTTTAAAAACACTGCTCTTGTGTGTATTGACGACTTTGTTTACTGTTGTCAGGTTTTATGTAGCAGAGGTACTTCTAGCAATGGAGTATCTACACATGCTTGGGATCATTTACCGTGATCTGAAACCAGAGAATGTTCTTGTGAGAGATGATGGACACGTGATGCTTTCAGACTTTGATCTCTCCCTGAGATGTACTGTGAGTCTCTCCATAGTCAGATCAACCAATCTTGGCTCCGAAGGCTTGTCAAAGAACTCAGTTTCTTGCTCACAACAACCCGCTTGCATCCAGCAGCCATCTTGCATCTCAATGGCTCCAACATCTTGCTTTGGTCCTCGGTTCTTCTCATCCAAGTCCAAGAAAGACAAGAAACCCAAAACAGACAACGGGAACCACCAAGTAACACCGTTACCAGAGCTTGTTGCAGAGCCAACAAGCGCACGTTCAATGTCTTTCGTGGGGACACACGAGTACTTAGCTCCAGAGATCATCAAAGGTGAAGGACATGGAAGTGCGGTTGATTGGTGGACCTTTGGGATCTTTCTTTACGAGTTGCTGTTTGGTAAAACACCGTTTAAAGGGTCAGGAAATAGGGCTACGCTGTTCAATGTGGTTGGTCAGCCCTTGAGGTTCCCTGAGTCTCCGGTTGTTAGCTTTGCAGCAAGAGATTTGATAAGGAGTTTGCTTGTGAAGGAGCCACAACATAGGTTAGCTTATAAGCGTGGAGCAACAGAGATTAAGCAGCATTCTTTCTTTAAAGGAGTGAATTGGGCTTTGGTTAGGTGTGCTAGTCCCACCTGAGATTCCTAAACCGGTTGAGATTAAACCGGTTAATTATAGTCCTTCTGTACAGGCTGCTGCTGCAGCTACAAGTGTGAGGTCTGATCAGAGTAATTATCTTGAGTTTGATTTCTTCTGAAGGTAACTGTGTCCATGATTTGATGATTCTCTTATTGTTTGATTTGCAAACTCTGCAGAATCTGTTTAGTGTTTTACTTTTTTTTCTTTTCTTTTTCACGTGTCGAACAAGTTATGAGATTTGTATCATTCTTCAACAATCTGAGACTGTCTCTGTAACACCTTCTTAAAGTGAAATGTTATTAGATGTGATGTCAAGTTATGTACAGCGTTGGTTTTTTCAGACATTGACTTTATCTGTTCATGCGCCTTTGTCTCGGCAGCTTTTGCTTCAGGTACTTTATTATCAGAATCGATTCATTTACAGCTTCAAACTTATCATTAAGCTCATCAACAGTTCTCTGAGCTCACTCCAGCTCAGTTTGTGCTTGCTCTGATTGTTTCAGCATTCTTGAAGCTGTTCCTTGAACTTGTTCAACTCTTTCTGCGCTAAGTGAAGGTCTGTTTGCTTCACCACAATTTTCTGCAAAACCACAACACAATTCAGAACATGTTTGTGAATTAAATAAAAAAAACTGAAGAAAGTGTTTTACCTATGTGGACTGAGTGAGGATTGTGTTTTCGAAGGAGAGAGGCTTTTCAGGTGAAAAGGCAACTTAAGTAAACGGCATGTTTAACAGATCGATTGAAAAGGAGAGCTTGTGTTGAGAAGAATCATGACGTCCCTTCTTAGCAACCATTATTTTGCATTTCTTTCTTTACAAAAAGCCACAAAGACTTGAGTCACCCTTTAATAGCACAGATACACAGATGAGATGACAGAGAGTTCTCTTTTGATTACACTGAGACAAAGAGGGCAAGTGTATTTGGTTGACAAATGGCAACTTTAGGTTGGTCACCTCACCTGTGAACCTAGTTGTGTTATTTGAACTAGACGACATGTAAGGCTGAAAATACATAATCTAGTTTTTTTTTGAATAACAGATAATCTAGTTATTTAAATATGGGGACAAGGATGAACACAATGACAACGATTTGTTCTTCTTGTACTTGGGTGTATCCCCTATATATTATTTGAGAATCATTTAAAAATTTGTAACCTTAAGTTTGTAAGAATTAAAAATAACCTCAATCCTATGTGGCATAGCTCTTTGGCTTCTATTTCAAATTCTAAGGATTCTAGAGCATGTGATATAATGTATAGTCTAAAAATTATATTCTCTAGCAATATAATATTTCGTAGACTATAGTTGGTCGCATATATCAAATATTTATTGTTTCGCATGCTTTCCTTAAATAAAACCTACGGAATTACCTAATGTGATTAAAAAATATATGACAATTAATGATTTTAAACAATAAAGATTTGATAACAATCTATATACTTTTTGTCATTTTGTTTATTTATTTATTATTAAAATAAATTACACAATTAAATTAATCATATAATAATTTTAGTGTATGTTGTATTTCGAATTTTTCAAAATGAGTATAAATTACTAAAACTGTTAAAAGTCTCACATAAACTTTTAGGATCAAGGTTTTAATTTTTTTCTATATTAAAATATAATGATTATAAGACCGTACGAAAAAATAATTTTAGTTTATATATATATATATATATATATATATTTCATATCGTTTTAATTAAACTATAAATCGTATGAAAATACATACTTATATTTTGATATTTGTCTTCAACATATATTGAAAAGTTAATATTTTAATTTGAAATATGTCATTTAAAAATAAATGATTATAAATTATTGAAACTACTAAACATCTCACATTAAAAAAATCGTTGGTGTAAAGTTTTGTTACACAAATACACAAATAATCATAAAATCATATGAGTAGAAACCTCATTTAATAAATATAAATATTAAAAGTGTGCCATATTACTATGTTTATATCATTCAAATTTAATTATATATCATATACAATATATAAGATTGATTATTTTGATTTATTTACGCTAATTACGAATAAACAAGAGTGATAGTTAAATTTATATGCATACGTCAATTTATTAACTGATTTCTTAGTTATGTAATATATATATATATTTATTATTTTATTATTTTATGATATGCAGAAAATTATAAAATAAATTATAAAAATAAAATACTTATTGTGCATAAAGTGCAGATCTTAACCTAAGTATGTATCTTTTTAATTATTTTAAATCTTAAATATTTTCTAAATCCCATGTCAAAACAAATAAACGAAATGAGAATAAACTTCAAAATCAATATTTATATCGAGTATTAACACGTGAACGTAAACTTCTCATAACCATAATTAATTTTTCAATTGTTAAATCATGATATAAAACTGAGTTAATTTGTTAACTTTTTATTTTTCTTAATTTTTTAAATCATTATGGTTATGTTAAATCATGACCATAATTAATTTTAAATTCTTTATTTGTATTTGAAAAACTTAAAATATTATTTTTAAAAATAATTTAAACTTTAACTTATTTTTTTATAAAATTATTTAAAAATAATAATTTGTAAAAAAATATAGTTTTCTAATATTATTATAAAAATAAATAAATTATATTAAATTAGTTTTGAAACTTATTTATTTTAAATGCAATTATTTTACCAACTGCTTCTTAAAAAAACATAAGAAAATTTGCTAATACTCTACCAATCAAACCTAATGGCACTCTGTTTATTTTCCATCACTCGAACACTAAAAAGTGAAAAGATATATGAAATCGGGTCCATAAAATTCTAAGATTTGATCTACAATTCTAATTATAATTGTTTCGGATCCTACGTATAGATAATTATTTTAAAATTTCAAAATTCTAAAATTTCAAATACATATAAAAACAATTATATGTAAATTTTAAATTTATCAATACTAAAATTTTATATTTTAATTACGTATATTCACCTTGCGCAAGGCGCAGGTCTTATCCTAGTTATATATATATACATCACATTTTATATGAAAACGAGAAGAAAAATATATCTTGTTCAGATTTACGGAACGGTCTCCAAAGTATTGACAATGGCTTAGTTAGAATCCAATTTCCATACTTCCATATACTCAACTTCCGTATACTTTTAGCAATCAAAATTGTGTGTTTTCTATGTTACTTTTGTAAGAAACTACTAAGAGCAACTTGAACATTATATAGTAACTTGTTTGATGTACAAAACAAAAAGGAATGAATAATCAAAAGACCCAACACCAAATGACCGACCCGTGAAAATCATTACATATAGACACAATAATAACTATGTTTTTTTTCTTTCTTTCTGGGTTTTCAATAAAAGTGACAACACGATTTTACATCATATTTTAGAAGAACAAACAACTTCAAATAAGAAGGAAAATCATTATCGTGAATACTACTAAAGGGGGCAGGCTCCAAATCATCTTAGGAACATTTTTTTTTGTGTGGATACTTTCAAGAAAGACAATAAAACATAAAAAAAGAACATTGCTTTAGGATGTTTAAGCAATGTCAACCTTCTTTTTTTTTCTACTTGTTTGGCAGAGCAAGCAGATCCATATTTGTGTCCGTCAAGAGTTCACTGCTGGAGATTGGATGCAGCAGAGCCATTTTTTCTGAAACCAAAGAGTCTCTATATGTGTGAGACCATGGATCGAAAGATTAGAGAAAACAAAGAATAAGATTTTAACTTACAGGCTGAGGTTTACTAGGATCTCCACCTCCTCCTCCTCCTCCTCCGGACTTAGCATGACCTTCAGTGGATTTACCAGGTGATCCCGGTTTGCCACCGGTCTTCTTCTCATCCCTAGCTTTGTTGAATATGACTGTGAAACCTTCTGCTGATGCTGGATCATTCACATCCCATTCACCAAACTTGGGCAAGGGACGTCCTTTGTCCTGTTCAAATTGTGAAACACACATAAATGTTGAAACCAAAAAATACATCAGAGAAACAAAGTTAAAAGCTCAAAACTCAATGCTTAAACCCTTTTGTACCCATACATCAGAGAAACATTGTGTTTTCACACGTTTGTTAAGGGGCATATGACCATTCCAAAATGAGTTTCAATACCAAACTCTTGAAAAAGAAGTACGAAACAGATAATAGAATGCGAACAAGTATCACCAAGCAAATGCGAAACCATGAGTATTATATACCAATATACCATCAAGACAAAAGTGTTGTACAATAGCTTTTAAACTAACCAATTTTCTATTTCTCAGCAAACATTATACACAATAAGTCAAATAAGATTACCAAAACTAACCGTCGCAGAAGTTCCTTTCCACTTTATTAGGTGGCAAGAAAAACGAAGTTTCAAACTAGTGAAATCTAAAATTTTGTCTCTAAATTAATTAGCAAGCAAATTCACAAGGCATGGAGATCTTTTGCCTGTCCCTAAACAAAATATTGATATGCTTCTTCATCACTCTCATATAAATCATGAAACAATATGGGAAAAGTGATACCACGAGAACAACCTTTTTAAGCTAAGCTTTGATCAAAATCTAAGCTAAAAGACAAATCAAGCCCTCATCCAAAAGAACTCTTCCAAGTTGATTTTTATTTTTTATAAATCTAAGCTTAATCAAACAAATTCAAAATTGAATAGCAACCAAAGATCGAAACTTTAAAAGCTAAAAACAGAGATCCATGAAAAGGGTTATCAGGAACAAGACAAATAGCTCATCAGAATCACAATCTCATATCTATATCGAAGATTGCAACACATCTTAGCTTACCAAATGAAACTAAATTCTCCAAACTCATCAAATCGAATTCGAAATTATATTCTCAATCATACATATCACCAAACTGACAAAAAGACAATTCTTATTTAGAAATAAAGATGAGATTTTTGAACGTACCGACATGGCGTCTACAGAAAGGAGGAAGCTTTAACCTCCAGGGGAAAAAAAATGATTCGAATGAAGCCGCCGAGAAAACCAAAGGAAAGTGAGAGAAAAAAAATATGATCCGCAGAGAGGAGAGAGATTCTGGGAGAGAGAGAAAGAGAGAGGGGATTTTCTTTTTCTCTTTCTCTTTCTTTTTTTTTGCTTTTTTTTTCTCTTTAAATTCTTTTTCTTTTTTGATCTGCCTTCTCGGAGCGGTGTCTGTAACGGTTTATATAAACGGAGTTAGTCTTAGTGACGTGACGTCTTTAGGTTTTAAAACGGAAAATTGAGCTGGCTGACGGCTGTTTATTAAGCGCCCTATATGTTGGGTTCGGACCGATGCAAATCAAGTGACTTGCTGGCACTGTTTTGTCTTTTAGCATACATTTTTATATCTTTTTTAATCTGTAATAATTCGTTTTATTAATACTTTTCAGTATCATATGCATGAACAAAACTAATTGGCTTTTTTTTGGTCAAAAGTAATTGGCTAGTTTTTTTTTTCATTATTATTTGTTATAACATCATGGTTTTTGAAAGGTATCTGTAACGAGTTTTGTTTAATGACACTAGTTGTTCATTGAAATTTAAAAAAATTCAAGTTGTCTATTTGTTTAATGAATTATGATTATGTTAATTTTTAGTGGACATGATTAGTTAAACAATATTGTTATTTGACAAAACTATAATCTAAAATGTCATCAAGCCATCATTTATCTACAAGTTTTATCAAACTATACATTAACCCACTAGCTGTTTAGGTTTCTTGTACATCTGTAGTTACCTAGGCTATTACAATAAACTATACAGGTTTGATAAATTTTATAATTATTTGTTGAGTAGTAGTTGCGACATTCAAATATATGTATTTGTACAATACTGATATAAAAGCAAATTAGCATAAATGTAATACAATTTTGTTAGAAGACTAACAGACAATCTTCAAATTGCGAATGCATTTTTAATCATATATTTATGTTACAGGCTCACGAGTGGTACTGCAAAATGGAACAAACCCAGTGATGCAATCTGACGAAGTGTTAGATCTTGTCTGCATCAAGATCCATCAGACACCATCCCAACACAACAAAAACAAATTTCTCCCTGTCTCCATACCGACAATCTTTACATCAAAAGATTCCTCACCAAAACACATAGAAAAGAATAAGAACTTTTCCTGCTTCCATGGCTCAACATTTTATTTCCCATTTTCCCTGAATCATTATCTGAATGAGTTCACAGGTGAAGTTAGTACATGAACTGCCAACACAGCTCCAGCTATTCGCAAGAGTTTGTTCCTCTTCCTGCTCTGCCTATGTCAAAGATTTGTAAATTCAAAAAAAGTGAAAGAAAGAAAAAAATAAATAAAGATCTTTTAACACAAGTGGAGTAAAGACAGTAGTTATAAACACACCTATACTTTATAGAAACTCAATTAAGACTTTTAATCCTTTTTGGTATGGTTTCTGAGTTGTATTTGTCATCAAAAGCAGCCAGTGAAGGCGACGCTTCACTGTTTGGCTTGTATGTTTTGCATAACAGCACAAGTTTAAGTGCTTGAGCTTCTGAAACTGGTTGGCACTCACATCAACAACTGTCAAATGAAACAAGAGAAAACAAAAGTAAAATTACTTAAGATGCATACTGTGAATCAGATAAAGCTCTAGGAACTTTTTAGCTGGTTCCGCTAGAGATCATCATTGAGTATGCACATTCAGCTCTTCACGTTTGATAAGTTGCAATTTCACCTGGAAATCAAAAACACCATACACAAAAGCCATAAATAAGCAACGAAAGAGTAACAAACATAAAGGACTCTGAACTAACTGTGTTACATGTTTTTTTCTATAACTTTTATGATCTTATCTCTTACGAATTGAATACCATCACTTGTCATGCAACGCATAAATTCTTCTGAGTTCTGCCTCGCCCACCTTACATAGAGCAGTGACAAGTACAGTGAACGTGAAATTCTTTGGAGTATGGCCCTCAAGGATCATAGTTTCATAAGTTATTTATAAGCTTCCATTAAGCATCCCATCCTGCCAAAAAAAAAAAAAAAAAAAAAAAAAAAAAA